TTTGAAGCAGACTTTATGAAAATCTACAGTTAGTTCTCCTGAGATCTTCACACATTTGAGTATTCTTTGTAATCTGAGGGATTAAGCGCTTCTAGATCATAACTCGGTGTCTATTTGAACTGAATTCACTCTTTATTAGAGCGTGCGTCACAGGCCTTGTTAGAGGAAGCAGGTCATATTATTCCAGTGTATTAAGTGTCATTAATATTTGGATTATTTTTCACAGAATTTTGGACTAGGTTGATTCTTTTCCTCAAGTTGTTCTTCCTGTCTGCCATTTTACCTTCTCTTCATCTCTGCTCTCACATCCAAAGAAAATGTTATCTCTTGCCTCCGTTTATTCCATTGCTTGCCTGAGCTCTTTCAGAAACTCAAGCCTCCATTAAGTTCCTATCCTAAGCAGTAGGCATAAACTAAAGGACTTTTATTACATAAACATAGAAAATATCTAATTGAGTTGACTGTAATTCAGGGTCGTCCAAACTTTCTGTCACATGGTCATAAAACAGTCAGTCTGAAAGTACTCGGCAGCCAATGAAATGTCTTTTGAAAATAATCTAAGATCTTACTCATGCTGGCTTGTCCACAATGTTTAGGCTTCGCATTAAAACTCTTCAGATGAATGGGCGCCAGTCTTTCTGCTGAGCTCGCTCTCTGGAAACGGTCTGGGATTACTCCACATCTGCACCAGCTCCCAAACGGATGGGACAGGGTATGGGCACAGCTGGTCCAGAGAAGCTGAGCAGACTCAATGAGGCGTTTGTTTCAAACCGAGGGGAAACGCGTGGGTGTGTGGGTGATTTGAATACCATCACCGGGAAAAGTGTGCGTATTAAAACACTCATGCTCAGTGGGTCCAAGGCCCGTGGTTTGGTGTAGTGCCTTGCCAAAATATTCCTTCAGGCTACTGGCCAAATGTGAAGGTTTTTATTTTTTCTTCCTGGGCTTTTATATGAAAGCGCTTCACAAAGTTTATCAGAATATTGTGACTGTAAAGAAAACATGCTACATGGATTTATGAAGTATTTTTACTTATAAAGATATGAAAAGTGCAGCAAACATCTTTATTAAGCTCATTCTAATCTAATATCCTTTAACGAAATATGGTGCATTTGTAAAGCAAAGAGGTAGAGTTACTGAAAAAGTTTGCACTCTGCTAGTATAAGGGCTCAATAGTTGGTTGGTGTTCTTTTCTCTTTGCATGAATTACCTTGTCATGGTGCAATAATGCAGTCTGGCTTTCCTAAGATCTTACCAGGGCAGAAGTGGGGAGTTCCATTTAGATGCTTCTACCTAAATGAACAGCAGGTTTCTTCAGCAGATACCTTTTCCTATCTTTTCTCTCCTTGCAGATAGCATGAGTGACTATCTGCTTAGCAATTGTGCAAAAACAAAACCCATTTTTCATTGCTCCTTCTAGTTCTCAATTTAGTTTCTGTCCCTTCTGTATCTTATCTGAGTCATTTTCTGTTTCCTCCTACAGTATGCCTTGTTTTAGAAACGCTACAACTAAAATAAACAGTGGGGGAATTTTAAAATTTGAGGCAGGAAATGTAGCTCTGATCTCACTTTAAACAGCTTCCTGCTTGTAGAGTGTGAGCTAACGCCCAATATGAAAACACACGGACAACTTTGACTCATGGTCAGCCTGCTTGTGGGGCCTTTCAGTGCGAAGCTGCGGTCCAGCACAGTGCCTCGAAAAACAAAGTAGAACTCAATATTTAATACATCACTATTTGGGTGTTTGTTTTTTGTTTTTTTTTTTTTGCTACTACAATCCACACTGTAGGTGAATTTTCTACCAGCCTAAACTTACATCAGGTCAGTGCAATGTAAACGCTCTTGAACTCATTCACCTGACCTTTATTCATCAACCATTGGTACTGTACATCTGCCCAACCCCGCTGTGTAAACTCAACTCGTTTGATGGATGAGCTTCCAAAAATTAGCCAGTTAATTATTAGCTTTAATACATTAAAACTAGCACTGCCAAAGATATTTCAAATTGGGAAAACGGATCTGAAATACACAAAAAGGGTGTTAAAAAAAGTTGACAGAGTTGACAGAGCTCTGTCAGCTCTGTCAGCTGACCATTAATGTCACCATTAATGCATTAATGGTGATGCATTAATGCATCACCATTAATGCAGCCTAAATGTAAAATAACTTATTACACTGTAAAAATAAATACCAGCACCAAATCCTGTCAGATCTGATCAACGCTAAAAATGTTGTAGAATCTCTTATAAACATTGTTTTCATTTACCATCAACCTTTAAACAACACACAGTGCTTTGTGCGACCATTTAAAATGTTAATCATTAGTGCGACCATCTTAACTGAGAAGAAGGTAAGACAGTTTTCTAGTTAACATGCAAAGACATTTCAATAGCAAAGACCAGACCACATCAACATGCACTTTATGATGTAATAACATAAAAGGAGTGAAGAGGATTTTTTGTTTTTTTTAAGTTGGGTTCAATCATTGGAGTCTGTTAAGTAGTGCATCNTCTTTTCCTCAAGTTGTTCTTCCTGTCTGCCATTTTACCTTCTCTTCATCTCTGCTCTCACATCCAAAGAAAATGTTATCTCTTGCCTCCGTTTATTCCATTGCTTGCCTGAGCTCTTTCAGAAACTCAAGCCTCCATTAAGTTCCTATCCTAAGCAGTAGGCATAAACTAAAGGACTTTTATTACATAAACATAGAAAATATCTAATTGAGTTGACTGTAATTCAGGGTCGTCCAAACTTTCTGTGACATGGTCATAAAACCGTCAGTCTGAAAGTACTCGGCAGCCAATGAAATGTCTTTTGAAAATAATCTAAGATCTTACTCATGCTGGCTTGTCCACAATGTTTAGGCTTCGCATTAAAACTCTTCAGATGAATGGGCGCCAGTCTTTCTGCTGAGCTCGCTCTCTGGAAACGGTCTGGGATTACTCCACATCTGCACCAGCTCCCAAACGGATGGGACAGGGTATGGGCACAGCTGGTCCAGAGAAGCTGAGCAGACTCAATGAGGCGTTTGTTTCAAACCGAGGGGAAACACGTGGGTGTGTGGGTGATTTGAATACCATCACCGGGAAAAGTGTGCGTATTAAAACACTCATGCTCAGTGGGTCCAAGGCCCGTGGTTTGGTGTAGTGCCTTGCCAAAATAATCATTCACGCTACTGGCCAAATGTGAAGTTTTTTTTTTTTTTTCCTGGGCTTTTATATGAAAGCGCTTCACAAAGTTTATCAGAATATTGTGACTGTAAAGAAAACATGCTACATGGATTTATGAAGTATTTTTACTTATAAAGATATGAAAAGTGCAGCAAACATCTTTATTAAGCTCATTCTAATCTAATATCCTTTAACGAAATATGGTGCATTTGTAAAGCAAAGAGGTAGAGTTACTGAAAAAGTTTGCACTCTGCTAGTATAAGGGCTCAATAGTTGGTTGGTGTTCTTTTCTCTTTGCATGAATTACCTTGTCATGGTGCAATAATGCAGTCTGGCTTTCCTAAGATCTTACCAGGGCAGAAGTGGGGAGTTCCATTTAGATGCTTCTACCTAAATGAACAGCAGGTTTCTTCAGCAGATACCTTTTCCTATCTTTTCTCTCCTTGCAGATAGCATGAGTGACTATCTGCTTGGCAATTGTGCAAAAACAAAACCCATTCTTCATTGCTCCTTCTAGCTCTCAACTTAGTTTCTGTCCCCTCTGTATCTTATGAGTCATTTTCTGTTTCCTCCCACAGCGTGCCTTGTTTCAGAAACGCTACAACTAAAATAAACGGTAAATATAGCACTGATCTCACTTTAAACAGCTTTCTGCTTGTAGAGTCTGTGCTAATGCCCAATATGAAAACACACAGACAACTTTGACTCATGGTCGGCCTGCTTGTGGGGCCTTTCAGTGCGAAGCTGCGGTCCAGCACAGTGCCTCGAAAAACAAAGTAGAACTCAATATTTAATACATCACTATTTGGGTGTTTGTTTTTTGTTTTGATTTTTTTGCTACTACAATCCACACTGTAGGTGAATTTTCTACCAGCCTAAACTTACATCAGGTCAGTGCAATGTAAACGCTCTTGAACTCATTCACCTGACCTTCATTCATCAACCATTGGTACTGTACAACTCCTGTGCAACCCCGCTGTGTAAACTCAACTTGTTTGATGGATGAGTTTACAAAAATTAGCCAGTTAATTATTAGCTTTAATACATTAAAACTAGCACTGTCAAAGATATTTCAAATTGGGAAAACGGATCTGAAATACACACAAAGGGTGTTAAAAAAAAAGAAAGTCCCACAACAAATTGCTTGTTTTTTAGTTTTTTTTTCTCCTTCTATGACCAATACATTCTACAATCTGAATTAATGCTTTAGTTTGTTTCTCCATCCTAAAGAAAATGCAGAGCTGTGAAAAATAATTTGCCTTCTAGATTTCTTCTGAAAGGGAAGGAAGAAAATGGCTGCACACAGATTTAATCACCATAGATCTTTAGCTTTCAGATCTAGTCTTTTTTTTCTTAGAAATATGTTGATGACCATTACGTCGATGGTCCAGTGGTATCAGAGATTAATCAATGTAATTTAATCCACTGATCCAACTGATCTGCCAGTTTAAGCCAAAGAGTAACAAGCTGGAGCAAAAGTGGCCTGGACCACTCAGGGCCTTCCAAAGGGAAGTAGGACAGCCTCTCCCGGTTCGTGAGGACTGATGCTGTAGGCTGGGAATACAACATGACACAAAAGATGAACCCAGACTAAACCTGTCCAAAACCTTCAAGTGACGCCTCCATTCCACCTGGTTGAAAGCCTTCACTACATCTAGACACAGGATGGCCAAAACGTAACACATAATGTCCATCTCATGCCTAACGTTAAAGAAAGGGAATGGATACACTCGTTTGACCTTTTCGCATCTGTTTTCATGAGTAACTTAAAATCGAAGCTGACCATGGAAATTAGACAGTATGACAAAGGATCAGTCAACTTGCAACCAAATCTGGAGTCAAATTGATTTATTTCCTAAAAGCATAAAGAAACACAAATGAGGAAGCAACGGTGGTGACGTTGGTAGGAGTTTGCCCTGTGTAATCAGTAGGTCGCTGGTTCGATTCCCAGTTCCCTCGTCCTCAGGCAAAACACTTCATCACCTTTGAGCCGATGCTGCAAAATTCGCTTCTGTCAGAGCAGCTGGAGCTACAGACCAGCAGCTCACCTCAGCAGCATATGGATGAGCCCTTTGATGTTTCAATTGGAGATTAAATTGATTATTATTATAGTACTACATTCAACAAGTCAAGTGCAGTTAAAACCAAAGGTAAAAAAAAAAAGACCTAACCTATTGTTCTTCACAATATTACAATAAATCAGACAAAATGTTCCTGTTTTAGGCCAGTTCAATTAGGACAATGTTCTGATCAAAATAATAATTTATGTGCCATAAGATTACTATGCTGACTAACAATTTCAGACAAACCTAATGTTGCCATGGCTTTTTAAGGCACAGCTGTGGGTGTATTTTAAGGCCTCAAACGCTGCTTAATTTGCAACATCACAAAAAAAAAAAGAAGAGAAAAGAAATTCAGGCAAACGTAGAAGAGACTCATGGGCCCAGAAGTCTGGAGTGTTGAAGGTGCCACGTTTATCTGTTTGAACCATTATAGTCAAGCACAAACACAGTGAGAGTCCAACCATCATACAGTCCAGTTTGGTTTTACTAAAACGGGTTTGTCGTAGTTGAAAATGTGGTGATGGATTCCAAATTGGTTCTAAGGGCAATTTGACGAAAGATGTGCAAACGTTTGAGTTTAAATGAAATAAAATATCTTTAAAAATTCCCTCTGGTTACTGAGGCATTTAGAACATAGAATTAACATTGATAATCCCCACTGACCTAAACCAGGACAGGTTTTGTCTGATCTATTGTTACACCATAAAAACATCACCTCCAACTTGATAATCACAATAAATAACATCACCATTAATGCATTAATGGTGATGCATTAATGCATCACCATTAATGCAGCCTAAATGTAAAATAACTTATTACACTGTAAAAATAAATACCAGCACCAAATCCTGTCAGATCTGATCAACGCTAAAAATGTTGTAGAATCTCTTATAAACATTGTTTTCATTTACCATCAACCTTTAAACAACACACAGTGCTTTGTGCGACCATTTAAAACGTTAATCATTAGTGCGACCATCTTAACTGAGAAGAAGGCAAGACAGTTTTCTAGTTAACATGCAAAGACCAGACCACATCAACATGCACTTTATGATGTAATAACATAAAAGGAGTGAAGAGGATTTTTTTTTTAAGTTGGGTTTAATCATTGGAGTCTGTTAAGTAGTGCATCACCTAACCCAACCAAATTCTGCAGACTGAATAAAACTGGATGGAGTTGGTAGGATGGAGTAACTGGATTTGTGAAATGGAACTGCGATCGAATTGATTTTGTACAAGGCCCTTCAGTTCTTGTGTTGTGAACTGAATAGAGAAACTAACAGCTGTGAAAGTGGAGGCTTGTAAAGACGAGTTAAGAGGCTGAATTTTCAAACTGAGTTAAAGTCCCACTCTTCTTGAACCTGGAGATGGAACACTTTGTTCCTGGATGAATTTATCACTAGCTGCATTTGCATCACAAACGTGCAAAATACTTTATATTCCTCTAATGTCGAAAAAACCCAATTGTGCAATTATGGTCTCTTCATTTTGTGAGAAACTCCATTAAAATCACACCATCTACAATAATTCTGAGGAATCTGGATTGATACGAGTTACAACATTTAATTTCCCTTTGGGATCAATTACCGGTAAGTATTTTGGAATACTCCAACTATTTCCTGTCGTTTTCTTCATGGTTTGTACCGGTGGCAACATCCGGTTGTTGATCACGTAAGGCGTGAAAAAGTGTTTCCATTTGCAGTTTTGCGAAATAAAGCAACTTTGATACAACCAAATAACTTAATTTCCTCATACTAGTGCCAATTATAATTTTTTTTTAATCAAGAATCAAGTTCTTCAAATTTGGCGTGTTTTCATTACTCAAATTTTAATTGAAATGTCAAATTGCAAAGTTATATGGTCAACAGAGGCGCAACTTCGGTCATTTTGGGGTTTTTGTTGTCGATTTCCGGTTGTACACTTAAATGCTTTGTGTTGCTGCTCATTTATTAAATGGACTTGAGCAAAGGTACCTTAAAGGAGGACTGTTGCGTGGAAATGAGACGTCATGCCTCCACTTTTCTTGAATATATGAAACTATGATTTGCACGTTTGGTGAGGAGAGAGGAAAAGGAGGCCTGAGGTGAGAATAACTGTATTGTATGAGGGAATGGAGTTATATGAAATGCAGTTGATGTGTGGCATTGCTTTTTGGTTTCAAACATTAAAATATCTAAATCATTTCTATATGGAGTGATGGTTTAGAAAAGTCATACATTTAATAAGTAAGAAAAGAAAAACAAAATCCCAGAGGAGTTCCCACAAGATAACTTCCATTAGGCTTCATGGAAATTCCACTTTGGCTGAGTGCAATTAATCATTTTACTCTTTTTTTTTTAAACCAAGAAATCTGGAACATTTCCTTCATATCGCCTCCTTCCAAATCTATAAAATAGAACAATAATTCAACAGGCCATAATTTAATGCGTCTGTTTCCTGGATGGGAGGGACCTGCTGCAGAAACTGGTCCCAGTCCGGACCATGAAGAGGTAACTGGGTCTGGAAGTGGTTCCAGAACCTGAAGGCCAAAATGAAACCGAAAAAAAGAGAAGTTTTATGGGTTTAGAAGAAATAAAATCTATACAATGTAAATTTGCTTTTCTTTTTTTTTTTTTCCTGTGTGTTTATACTTGTGGTGGTAGGTGTCGGGATCTCGGCTGATGCGGTTCTGAAAGCCGATGTACAGGTCATCCCAGAGGCCACCGTGCAGAACCACGTACCTCATCACGCCGATTCTGTTTTTAATCTTAAACACAGAGAAACTTTAGGCTGTTCCTGACAGTCATTCAAAACATGATTGACAAAATATACATCTTCTTTGAAACCTTGCAACATCGAAGTTTAATACTTTCAATATGAGTGGATATGTATATCATAAAAGCCTTTTTAGCAACAGGCACAGAGTTAATATTATTTTAGCTGCAGTAAACTTTGTTCAGACCAATCATACTCTGGAGAATCGGCGAGGAATTTCAACAGGGCATCTAAAATAGTTACACGAAATATTCCTGCATTGTTATATGAACTGCTTATGTTTTTAGAAGAAGATTTATTTTTACTGTTTTCTCAAATGAACAACATCCATGTATTATGGATAGGCAACAGACTAATAACTGACTGTTTAACATTACATTGTATTCAAGTGACCAAGCACACAAAAACCCAACAAGCAGGTAAATTATTGAGCAGGAAATTAATGAGCAGGATATCAATTTACGTCAGACTTATTCTGCGCAAGTCCAGTTGCCTTCAATTTAAGCCTGATCTATCAGATCTTAC